CAACCGGTTCTCCGAACTACTTAGAAAGTTACCAACCGGTTCTCCCGAATAGGTGCGAACCGGCTGAATCCCACCACTGCTCCTGGGGCTCCACAGCTTCCTGGATGATATCTTGACTTGTTTTGACCCTTTTCCACCTCCCATAGTACTCCAGGGTGGGGGGGAGTAAATCCGATTCTGCCACTTCTTCTGTCCTCCTGGAGCCACTTCTGACGTCTGCACTGTAGACTTCTCTCCCTATTTTTTTCTACTGACGGCTTTGTTTGGAGGGTTTTTTTTCTCTATTGGATGAATATCTTTGCCTCTCTTGTCAGCTTGGTCCTCCCCAAGGATCATAGCAAGTAGACAGTCATGCAAACCTCTCCCCCCCTCCCCCCTGAATGAATAGATTGACCTTCACCATGTGTGCCTGGCCCAGCTGATGCCTTATAATCAGCGAGGAGTGAATTTTTATGTTTCCGATCTGTTCACCCAACAAGCAAAGCCACAACATGAGTAGCATTTGAATTTGATCCACGTAAAAAGAGGGAAGGATTGATTGCGCCCTTGTGGATCTCATTTTCACACACACACACACACACACACACACCATTTTGACAGATACTGGAGCTGAATTTGAATCCATACATTATGTTCTCAGCAGTATTACTTGATCTTTTTAATTATATCTTTTCTTCCAGCCTGCACCAGTGATGTTCCAGGTGATCCAGATTCTGGTGGTCCAGCTGACCTTCTGATCTCTGTCTGGGTTGGTAACCGCTGCCACTTGTTGAGGCTTAAATGTATATTCACAAAAAGTGTTCTATAAAAAAAGAGTATTGATAAAGAAAATATGTGGAACACAACAACCGAAAGGAGGAGAAAAGATTGAAAGAGCCCCCAAGGGGAATGCTGTCATAGAAGCAGGGAGTCAAGAGCATGAGGTTGCAATGATGGTGTTGGGTTTGTTTAGGAAATGTGAAAAGAATGAACCTGGAAAAGTTGAAACCATAAAGTGAAGAGGGAGCAGAGGCTGAACTAAATGAACTGAACCATGCCAGGAAGGGCCAGTTTAAATCTAATGCTTATGAGAAACCCTGTTCAAAGCATGAGATCATCCAAACCAATTTGGTGGCCATTCAGAGAAGACCCTGGTGACTCTGTGCTTGTCCATAATTCATTAACAACTGCGCCACCGTGGCTCAATAAAGTCAGATAGGTGACTGGGTCAGTCATTCTCGGCCTAACCCACCTCACAGGGTTGTTGCGAGGAAAATAGGAGGAGGAAGGTGTGTAGGATATGTTCACTGCCTTCAGCTGTTTCTAAAAAATAAAGGCAGGATACAGATTAAATAAATAAATCTCCCCTGCACATGATATCCTGTGTAGATTTCTTTGTCACAGGGTTTTTTTAAAAAAATCCATGGCATTGCATCGATGAGCCTCCAATTTTGTTGGCATCCCGGACAAAGGTTTTTACAGCTATCCTTTGAGATCCATTGGATGCCTAAAGGCACCTTCTGTGAGTTTTTTTTTTTAATGTCCCCAAGATGCTAAAATTAAAGTTTGATTTCACAATTGCTTTGAGCTGGTTTCCAGATTATTACAGGAACAGTTTGGGGATAAGTGCAAGAAGATGATATTTTAACAACAAAAAAAGCCTAAAAAGTGAAATGTACAATTAACCCCTTTTTCGTTGATGTGGAGCACAAAGCTCCATGCCCCAAAGAAATATGTATCTCATCTCCAAAGGTTGGGTAGGCTTGGGGGGGGGGGGGGGGGTATTCCAGTCCGATCTCTGAACAGGACAGGAATCCCTCAGTCACCCAGATGAATTCCAGTACAATTCTGATTCAGAACCTCTAGTGAAGTAGCCCTGCCACAGCTTAAGAATATATAGGTAGTCCTTGACCTGTGTGGCCACAACTGAACCCAAAATTTCCACTTTTAATGGAGACATTTTTAAGTGAGTTTTGCCCCCATTTTACGAGCTCTCCCACTGCAATCGTTAAGTGAATCACTGCAGTCGTTAAGTGAATAACCTGGCTGTTAAGTGAATCTGGCTTCCCCACTGACTGCTTGTCAGAAAGTCGAGAAAGGATAAAATAACCTTTATTATCATTTATTACTGTGAGTACACTGACCCCATATTAAAAATGAAATTCTTGCCCACTGTCAAAAGAATATATATATATATATATATATATATATA